TAATAAGGACAACTCAAGACAAAGGCCAAATGCAGTTTTTACTATGTTTTTAGTGGATGGAACACAAGGTATCAACATCAGAACAAGTGAAAGAGAAAGAACAGTTAGGGAACCGTATTGTTTTATAACTGAAGATCAGGGAACCAAGAGAGAAGTGAAGGACAAAAAGGATATAAATTACACTTAATTTTACTTCCATAAAATATTTTTACTTCCATAAAAAATGCAATATTTTACTTCCATAAAAAATGCAAAAGTAGATTTTTGTTAGGTCTCTGCTCTTAATTCATTAATGTCTCTTCAGCACACCTCCTCTTGCTGTCTGAACTGTGTTTATACAATCAGAAGAGTTCATTTCACTACATCAATTTCAGGCCTCATCCTGCTCCCACTGACTTGAATGGCATCTGTATCAGTTGGTTAGCTACCAACAACGTACTGCACTATTTCAGTGGTGCTGGACAGCATACCGTTTTATTCCATGTCAGGGTTGAGTTCTTCATTCATTTCAATTAACTCTGAAATATTTCAGTCCAACAGTTAAATAATAAAAAACAAGAAATACTAATATATGTCACATCTGGTTTATAAATGCAATTATTTCAGATACTGTACCTAGTGATAAGGACAGCAGTATCATGATGAGACGGGTGAGTATCATCCAGAACATTCTGCGTTTGCTGCCATAAACAAAAGTTGCGAAGAGTGGTAGCAGCATTAAAACTGATAGCTGGCCCTTCCTGTTCAGGAAATAGCAAGGAAACAACAAAGCCTAAAAATGATGCATTTGCATTCATCATTTATCAGGTGTAAAACAATTCAGTGTATCTGACTGGAAAACAAGCAAAGAGTTAAGCAGAAGACTAATCCTACCAAATCAGCTTGCAAATTCAGGCCTCATTTTGATCAATATTCATCAACACAAAACCAATGTTTTTAAGCAGTACCTATAGCTATATGTCATCTGCAACTAGTAGCAAGTCATTTTCAGTAAAAATGAAATCAACATGAAAAGCATATACTTAAAAAACATGAAAAGCATATACTTAAAAAAACCCCTAGAAACGAATTGGAGAAAGGAAGGGAGTGCTCCAGAGAATAAAGGACTCTCCAGATGACCTCTGTGTACATAATCTACTCTCAAATGAAGGCACACCTAGCCCTCAAAAATTTCTCACCTTTTTTTAAACAAAATGATGGTCAAAGAAAAAGTGGCAGTAATTGACATTTAACAGAAAAGTTCTGTCAAAAGTATTCTATGTAAAAAAATCATGATGTAAACTGAAATACTGTGCATCTAATCGACTGGAAAAATGTTTTTTAATAATTATTTTTCCTACCTGTTCATTGTGAATTACAATTAACTTTACAATAATTATATTTATGAGGTTGCCAATACTTGAGTCCTTATAGATTGCTGCAACCTAGAAAGAAAAAAAGTCATAAGGTTACACTGCTAAAATCACATGCAAAATTTAAGACAGCTTGGTGTTATAGTCAGTTATGAATGATTGGGGCCACATTTAAAGTGACTTCATAGACACTAGCACTTAGGTGTTGGAATACCTAAGTTTTAGGCATCTTGCCCCAGGATGACAATTCTGTGAGACTCATTGGTTCCTACGCTCTCTGGAAAGCCCAAGAGGCCGATATAAATACCAAGCCTAAGAGAATGTCTGAACTCTCACCCGATCTTAAGCATCTGTCTCAGACTGGACTTTGCAAACCTTTCTTCAGTTGAACATCACTGAAATAACCCTGGAGCTGGGAACCAGAACCCAAGTTGCCTCCTTCAAAGGGAGTACCATAAGCAAAAACCAACTGAGGCATGCTTCCTTTTACATCTTCTCTAGGTTACTTTGTTTTTTAAAACAGTGGCTAGTTAAAACCCAGAAAGAGCTCTGGCAAGCATGGACAAAAACCCAGGGGTTTATTACCAGAAGAGTACTTTAAACATTAGGTTATTTCTATGTGCTGTCCTTCTGAACATACCACTTTTTCATTATTGACTGTCCAGCTTCAACAGCAGGAGTGGAGGATGCCCCGCTCTAGGCACCACTATCATTTCTACTTAATTCAGTGCCAATGTTAGTTAGGCAAGTGCTGAGCATGCCAATGCTAGCCAAGCAGCGACCCAAGCTAAGTTACAGTGCCTCCCAATATCAATATAAATTGCAACAAAGTTTAGATGGAACTTAGCTTCTTAGCTGCTCCAACTGGATCACTTCTGAACATGTGTAGCATGAACTGAACTAATGTAGCTGATGTTAACATAGACTGTAATAATAGTGAAATATAACCATGTTAGTCTTGTCCTGTAAACAACTTGAAAACTTCATTTTGTATCCTTCTGCTTGACATAAGTGAACAAACTCTGCATAGCCTTTATGTATGAGTGTGTGTAAAAGGGTGAATGGTGAGAGAATGGCACTGATTAAATAATCAGTCTATCCTGTTCTATATGGTTTCCATTCTTGGTGATCAACAAGCAAGCAGTTATTTCACTAGATGTGGTGGGAACCAAGATATCTACTTAAAAAAAAACTGCATAACAGCCCAACTATAATTAGCATCTGATCTTGAAAACTTTACCTGTGAATAGAGATTTGCAGGAGTGTACGTCAAGATCTATGCACCAGCCCTATAGATTAAAAAATGAGGACATTCTCAGACAAAGTGTGTCTGTCTGAGCTCTACTTGGATGACCTCTAACATGATTAAGTGAATCATACTTGGCTAGGTCATAACGAGCTCTTATTTAGTTAGCAACCATTTTGATAAGCAGCATAAGAATATTGCCTAGCTCTTGTTCTTTTCAGCAAAGACAGTGAACAGCATGGGGGTATTCCCAGATGACTTTGTCCTTTCATGGTAATAATATAGAACTCTTAATACATCAAGGTATACTTGAAGCTTAATTTACCTGATGTTGAGTAAGGCTTGGGAATGAATACATTGGTTCAAATGCAGCTCTGAAACAATTTTAAACAGGAATTTGGGAAACCTGGAATGAGGCCTCTTAGTAAATCTGCCATTTTGGAACACTACATCAGATGCCAGTATTTGTGAACACTTCAGTTGGAGTAATGGTTACTAAAAAGTTAGTTTTCATAGATAAGTAGTATAGGAAAGAAAATACTAAGGGCTCAAAAGTAAGAAACCCATCAACCCTATTAATACCGTAATGAGATCCTGAGAGCAAGAAGTTTCCCAAAGGGGGAGGAGGAAGGGAAGAGCTTGAGTTAGACTATTACAGAAAAAGCCATTATAGAGAGTGAGTAGCCCTAAATAGGAGGGTGACTTGCAGACACTGTTGGTAAATGGAAACTCGGAGAGCTGCTAGAAAATCCAGAATGAATGATTTTGCCAAGGTAGACAGTTCTTGCCAAAATACCCAAATAGAAAACCTCTTTTCCTTAGTTTTATAAGTTAGTATAGTCCAGACTTTTCTGCTTTGAAACAGAAATTCAGTGACCAGCTTCTCTTAATGCACACCATCCAGCTTGTGAGATATGAGGATACTGGGGCTCAGCTGTAAGACCTGTATGTTGTTCTGAAAAACTAGGCCAAGCAGGGAAGACAAAGTTATCAGCAGCTTCACTGTGAGATTCATCATAACTGTTTGGCTCAAGCTAAAGCTAATTACAATCATCAATGCAGCATCTTGCCTCCATTTTCTATGGATCCCCAGTATCATAAGAATCCAAGGAATATAACAATGATCATGATCCTATACCATGATACAGGGACAAATACATCAAGTCCCAAGCCCAGCAGCCTCCCATTAGAGTGCAGATGAGTTGTGTCAGGGGTATACTTGGTAGCCGTGTTGGTCTGAGACAAAAAGACATACAAAAATGTAAAAATGAAGTTTATTTCCTACCTACGGGGACTTTTTACCATCTTGTACCATCTACACTTTTCCCAGAGCCTGACGAAGGGACTTTGATCCCGAAAGTTGCAGAAAGGGACAATTTTCTTGCCATTTTCCAGTTGGTCTAATAAAAGTTATCATTTTGGAACCCAGAGTTCTAGTTTTTTGTATGTCTGATGAGTTGTGTCTTCACTCTCTGATGACATAAGACATAGATAGCAAAGATAATCACATCCACGTTTCATGCTAGGCTGTGGGTAGCCAGGTCTGGGGTTGGGAAAAGTCAGGAAGTCAGAATTCAGGAGATCTGTCTGGGGAACCAAGTCAGAAGAGAGTCAGGTAGAACATCAGGTCAGGAGGCCAGCCAGGTCAGATATCCAAGGAATCCATCAATCAGTAGCAGCAGATGTCAAGGGTACACCTAATTCTCTCATGCTCCTTCAAATCCTAAGCCAAATATGGCAACAATAGATCTGAATATCCTTAAAGGATTTGGAATTTCTACAATAAACATACTGCATGGGGTACACCACCTGGTAATTTAAAATCCACCAAACCTTTTTCATAATCATGTAAGTTGACAGACCAAACACAAGAAAGAATTAGATTTAGCTGCTTGCAGGCCTTCTTGTGGCTATGAGAATGCAGGGCACAGCTGGTATAAATTCTTTGTCAATTCATTTTCTGAAAAGAAAAATCTATACTATGCGGACTCTGAGGATATACTCCAAAATCCTAGTTCTGGCAAGCTATATTTTTTATTTTGTTTATTAAACATTAAATATTTGAAGAAATGCATTCTTACCACATACTTGTTTCCAAATTACCCTCAGAAGTACAGGTACACATATGGAGTAAGATTTGCTAGGAGACAGCTATACTTCTTACTGAATACCAGTAAGGTATTCACTATGCTGGGAGACACAGACAGCAAAGTCCCACCATTCACGCAGGTTCCTATCCTGTGTACAGGACCTCCATCTGACGCAGGCGGTACATGGTCCCACTAGGGGGAATGACTTACTGGACCTGGTATTGGCAACAGGGGATGACATGGTAGGAGACCTACAGATCGGTGGTCACCTGGAGGACAGTGATCACCAAATAATAGAATTCACCATAAGACGTCGAGTGGGTAAGGTAACTAGTAGGGTGAAAGTGCTAGACTTTAGGAAAGCTGACTTCAATGAACTCAGGCGTTTAGTCAAGGACACACTGCAGAGTAAGAGTTTTGAAGAGTTGGGAGCCCAGGAAGGGTGGCTGTGCCTTAAGGAAATGATCCTTCAGGCATAGAGGGAGACGATCCCGATGCGGGGAAAAAGGGGGAAAGGGGCCAAGAGGCTTCCTTGGCTGACCAGAGAAATCCAGAGCAGTCTACGGGCTAAAAGGGGGGCATATAAAAAGTGGAAATGGGGAGAGATTACTAAAGAGGAGTATACCTCCTCTGCTCGCGCTTGTAGGGAGGCAGTTAGACAGGCCAAAGCTACCATGGAGCTGAGGATGGCATCCCAAGTTAAGGATATCTAAAGAACAATGTTTTGTTATATAGGGAGTAAAAGGAAGGCCCAGGGTGGAATAGGACCTCTACTAAGTGGGCATAAGCAATTGGTGAC